GTCCTCAAGCAAGAATCAAAAAGCATGGAAAAAAAAGAGAGGCTCGAACGGTACGATCCCTCCGTCACCCTAGAATGAGAGGGGCGATCTTGCAAAGTGCGACTCGTGAGGGAACAATGCCTGCATCTTTTCGAATCAAGACTAATCGAAAAGCGGATTTCAAACCCACTCTCTCGAATTCACAATGGAGAGGGACGCATCACGAACTATTTCCTTTTCCTCGTGGGTTCATCAGGTCAAAAGGGCCAGTGAACAACAACATGGAATCATAGGATAAAGAGTAGTAATTCTACGTGGGTGTTCTTCCTCTTTTTTCCTCACTCGGGCGATGGGGATAGAGACTCCAGAGGAGACGACTCGAGCAATGCGTCAACGAGAAAGTGGTTGAGAAGTTTACACGAGGGAAGACTTTCGGGCGTCCTTTTAGAAATCGGGGTGTTCTCGTTTCCTTTTTCAAAGCCGTAGTTGCGCCCTCGAGAGAAACCTCGGTGGTTATCGTGATAACAAAAGACAAAATAGCAAGTCAATGAGGGCGAGAGGTGTTGGCGGAACGTGACGGTGGTTGTCGCGAGGCTTCTCTTTTCGTGCGTTCACATGGATCGCGCCATTCGCCGCCGAGGAGCCGCCCACGACTGCGCGGTGGCGGTGGGAATTTTAATGGGGGGGCACTGCATGGCCCGCCACCACCATTGCCACTGCCACTGCCACGTTCACGACACGAACACCATCATCTTCCGGAGTGCTTCTTGAATTTGCTAGAGAGATTACAAAGTTATTCGTCCAAGAAATAATGATCCTTCGAATTTCGTTGATGAATGTATTTGGACTCTTGATTAAGTAGTTGATGAAGAAAATCATCAGTTGCGAAATCCTTGAACATATTATGACACTCTTTCGTACATTCCTATGTTTTAGACAAAAGTCAATGCAGAATAGTTAAACCTCTTACTTTTGGGTTCTCGGAATAGTTACCCCCATTATTGATCTCTGTATTTCAAGCTTTTCGTAAGCGGTTTTTGCTTCTCTTCAAGATTCTCAAACGATGAATATGTTAAATGATTTTATGTGTCAATATTCAAATTTTGAAAGGCTTTTGTTATTTGATAACAGAAATAAAAAAAAAGTAATGTATCGATGGAGAAAATTATTTAAATCAGATGGGAAGTCGTAACCAAGATCAAGAAGGGGGTTGTAGAAGAGAAAATTCTCATATTCTTCGGGAGCAAGCAAGAATTGCTCTTTCCAAGATGCCGCTTGGATAAGTGACTTTTGGGTACGAGTACACACACACACACACATATATAATTGCTAATTATATATATGTGTATATAATTTGGTTTTTATGGTCAGATAATCAAAAGGGGTCTCTTCGTACACTTTCCAAAAGCAAAGGGGATAAACATTGGAAAAGTAGATTGCAGAATAGGAATTTCGACTGGACTGAAGCATTTTGGCTGATGGGGGAGATGTTGCCATGATTTTAGGATCCTCAAACCTTCCAAAAAGTGCTTCTTGACCACATCTATTCCGAGCATTATCAATGTAAATAAATTGTATATCCAGCGGCCGTCACCTTTGGACGAGATGCAATCTTTTTAATCAAAATTTGGCTATTGTCGAGGAATGTCCTGGGAGATGCACATTCATTTCAATAACTATTATTACTCATATTTAAAGAACATTATTTAAAAATGATGTAGCTAGCAAGGATCACCTAAAAGGGGGGTGAATAGGTAATCTAAATAAATTCTTTACCAATTTAAAGCTGAAGTAAAAGATCAAGAACAAAGTTTGAACAACAAGCAGATTTTGATCAGACTTTGTGACAAATGTTCTTGTGAGCAGTATAAACAATATAATAAGAGATTAGAAATGGAGAAAACTGCACACAAACAATTATAGTGGTTCGACTTAGATCAAGCCTACGTCCACTCTCCCACGCTGACAGCCTACTAGCTGGATTCCACTAATCAAATCAATGAGAAGTTAACGCAAATTGTGCCGCTTAAACCCAAGCACTTCTCCCCGAAGCTAGTGCTGCTTATACCAAGCCGATAGATCACACTATCTCACACCTAAGCGCACACTTATAACACTGTCTACACATCTCAAATGATTATACGTTTAAGCTCACAAAAGACAAGAGATTGAATCGGAGTATGCTCAGACTTTGGACTTGTTGATTCTTGATTTCGTTCTCTACCTTCTGCTCCTCGTTGATCTCCTTTTATACTCCTCCACTTCCAAACTAGCCGTTAGACAGTCTTCAGAGGATCATCTTCCAATATTCATCTTTGGACAGATTTGTATAAAATGGATTGAGTAGCCGTTGGTTGATAAAATCTGAATCCCGCTGATTTTGGTCGCCCATACAATCAGAATCTTGGTTTCCATAAGTAGAGCTTTATCCGTTGTAATGCATACTTATCATAGTATTTGATTGTCAATCAATTATAGCCTTAGATTGAAACAATCAAAACTTTCCTTCTGTGAAATCCATACCAGGATCACTACAGCTGTTATGTTTCGTTCTGAATGAGTTTTGCTTCTGCGTCTGAAAGACTTCTGCGTCTGCGTCTGCGTCTGCATAACTTCTGCGTTTGCGTCTGTTTCAGAACTTAGATTAGTGTGGGTCTTCGGTAAAGTCTGAACTTCTCATATTGAGTTTGAACTTTCTCGTTCTGAGTATGAACTTTTCGTTCTGAGTCTGAATCTCTTTTGCTTGAAGTTCCTTCACAATCTGAACACGAACTAGATCAAGATTGACATATGCTTTTCTTCCAAAAATAACTTCCTGAATCAAAGTACTTCAAAGCATTTATCAGACTTACAAAACACTCATGGACAGTTTTGTCAACTTCAAAATCTATTGGGAATTTTCCTTAACAAAAAGAACTCAACCGTGTTTTGATGCGCAGGATGGTTTTCAGGATGTCTGTTGATTTCCCTTGAGGCACTCGTCACCACAACTCTCGTAAAATAGTTTGGATGGATGGTTTTCTTCTCCTCAAGGTCCAGACATCACGGATTCATTTAGCCGAAAACCAAAGCAAAAAATCATTCTTATTTTTTCAGTAGAGCCGGCGTCGCAAGGGGATGTATGTTACCTTCTGCCAACAAAACTATGAAAACATCAATCTACATAAAAGTGAATCTAAGAATCATGTCATAGCCCACATACCCACATGCTGGAAATGAGATTAGGTCTAAATTAAGCGCGCAACCACCGAACAAACGCCATTATTAGGTATCGGAAAGGCCATAAAAACTGCCTGTAGAGGTGCCACGCCAGTCGCTACCGGCTTTGTGCTAGATGTGTGTATGTTTGATCCATTAATGCCTCTATAATTATTATGATCGGACATTATGTTAAACTTCCAGCTGCAAAAAGATCAGATCTGCCCTATGACTCCACATGAGTTATTATTGCTCGTCAAAGGGATAGCTCCAAGCTTGACTTTCCAACTCCTTTTGGTTTGGTTCTATTATTCTTTGCAGAGTGCTCACGAGCATATCTGTAGTTGCCAGGACATTTCCGAAGCGCTTCAGACTAATGGGGCTCTGAATAAGTATTGCCAGAGACAGCCAGCGTTTGAAGGCAATGTTTGGCCTGCTCGTTGACCTAGTTGTCGTGTCCCATCAAACCCTAATTTTTTACTCGAGGTCTCCATTGCTGCGGACTGAACCGTATGGAGAGTCCTTGACGACGAGATACGAGGTTCATTTCAAGAGGACATCCGTGCATGAATGATATGCCTTAGAAAGCTCATCCAATCGACCTAACCTTGATACGAAGGAAAGATCCGAAGGAAGCCCGAATTCACACACGTTAATGTACTCGTTCGGATCAAGTTTCATTGTTGTTAGCTAAGTCACACATTAATCATTTCATGTAACACAAATCTTTACACGATGTGGGGATAGTGTGGTTGACCGTCATCCCTAAAACCGGTTATTCCAAAGCACAAGCAAATCAATTGATTTTTTTCTTCTTCATTCAATCGCAACAACAAGATGGTCTTTGACCGGAACCCATTCCATGCTAACCCCGTGCCCGATTTGGGGTCGAGTTGCGACGTTCTAGGAAGCACACGCGCATGTTGACATTATCGTGTTCATAACTTATAAGCCTAACACTATGTGGAAGTTAATAATTAGGTCAAGTTTGTCATACTAGGTAGGCTCCATGACTCTAACCATTCTTTATCAACAACCTAATGGCCTAAAAGAAACAAGACGCGGTGGCCCATTTATTACCATTACTGCTAACAATTACCATCATTATCTTGCACTTGATGGGGTACGACTGAACTGAACTTTGGTTTTGTCCCGAGAGTGGGAAAAGAAGGGTGTCATGGCGAAAACTACGAATTGGTGGGGGGAAAAAAAAGGAGAAATTCAGAGTTGAAAAGGACTGGAAAGAAAAGAAAACAGAACTGACAAAATCTGAGGGGCATTGTCACCCTCTTCTTCCTCTCGTCTTAACAGTGGGAGCACACCCCCCCCGGGTCAAATTCATTGTCCTAAAACTATCGTACAACCTATACAAATGTTTTATTAACCCCATAAAAAATACCCTAGAAAGATTTTCGATCGAGATTTATATTTAATTTTTTTGGTGATCCGACGTGGCAGAGAAAAATGAAGATTTTCCAAATTTTTCTCGCAAGTTTTCTCGCTCACCCACTTGGAATTGAATCGAAGGTGAGGAAATTTTCCCCGTTCAAAGATAGCCACTGCCTCTCTCTCTCTCTCTGTCGCTCTCTCTGTGCGAAATCTCTGACCCGATAGTTTAATCACGAATTCTGCATGCGTACGTACGTTCGTTCTTTGCTTTACTCCTTTTCCACAATGCAGAAAAAAGTGGACGAAAAAGTAGCGACAGAGAAGGTCACTCTCTCTCTCTCTCTCTCTCTAAGCTCGCTCGCACTTTTCAAGACGCAACATTTATAATTTTCTCTCCTCTACGTTTAATCCTAAACATCATTGCTTCTACTATATATACCGCACTCCCCCCCATTCACATCCTCCAACTTTCCCTTTTGTCATGCGTTCCTTGGAGGAGTCATAGCGCATCTGCTACTGCTCGCAAAACAGAGCCCACCCCCGTACGTTCTCATGCATCGATAGTTGGTTGGACCAGGCGATGCATATGAAGGAGGCTCTCTCGCTTTAAAGCGAAGGGCGGTTTTCTCATCCCATCACATTCACGTTCTCTCGGGGAGTTTTCGAGGGCTGGGCTTGGCTTGTTGGTGCAAGATTTGTGCTGGACGTGTGTGATCAGTTGGTTGCTTTCGTTTTTCTTGGGTTTCTGGTTCTTGGGGGGTTGTTACATGGCGATTCAAGCGCAGCTGTATCAGGAAAATCTGGGCTTTCCGTTGTTCGGATCGCAGGATATCGTGGAGAGTCAGAATGGGCGTGGCGGGTTCAACCAGTTTGGTCTCGGCATTCAACAGAGAGTGCAGCTACAGCGACGGCAAGTGCAAGGGCAAGAACAGCTCTACATGCAGCAGTATCATCACGGTCCTTGCTTCCCGAGCGTGCCCACGTCGGAGGACGGCGTGGAGAAGAGCTTGATCGAGAGAAAGATGGCGCATCCTCAAGGCATCGCGACGCTGATTGATTGGCAGGACCAAGAAATACAGCAGTTTCTCCGATCACAGGTTGGTTAATTTGAAGCCCGACAGTTTGTTTCGTTCCATCGTAGATTTTTTTCCTTGTGGAGAAAGTTTTTGGATTCACTTTCAATTTTGGGGACTACTCGCAGAACGAGAGGCTGAGATTGGTGTTGCAAGAACAGAGGAGGCTCCAGATGCTGACGCTCGTCAAGAGGCTCGAATCAAGAGCACAGGCCCTGCTGCTTCAGAAGGATCAAGAAATGGCGCGAGCGTCGCAGAAGACGGCGGAGCTCGAGGAGCTCCTGAAGAAGCTCGAGTTCGAGTCCCAGACGTGGCAGAGGATAGCGCAAGAAAACGAGGCCGTGGTCGCGTCCCTCAAGATCGCCCTGGAGCAGCAGCTCAGCGAAAGGGCCTCTTGCGGCTCCAACGACGGCGACGGAGCAGAGGACGCACAGTCCTATTGCTGCGGCGCGAACAGGGACGGGACCGGAACAGAGGAGGTGCAGGAACAAGAGAACAGGGCAGTGACAACAGCTAGTGGGGTCGAAGGAGGATGGAGAAGAGAGAGAAGGACGACGACGACGATGGCTTGTAAGGCGTGCAATTCTCGAGCGGCGTGCGTGATGTTCCTGCCTTGCAGGCACCTGTGCTCATGCAACGCCTGCAAGGGCTTCCTCGATCGCTGCCCTCTCTGCGCAACGGCTAAGGAGGGCACTGTGGAGGCTCTGCTCTGATTTTCGCGCCCTTCCCTCGGAAAGGTAAAAGCGGAGGCGACGACGACGACGACGGTTGAGAGAGGGCTAAGGGACACCCCAAATTTCAGTGGCAGTAATGTAATGGCAGTGCGTGGATTTTCCCTTCTTTTGTTTCTTCTTCCTTTTTTGGTTTTGTGATGGTGGGAGGCAAATTTTTTATGTCACTGCTTTCTAGGGAGTGAAAAATGTGTTAGTTAAAAAGAAAGGGGACAAAATCAATGAACAGAATTCTAGGACAGAGAGCATCTTTTCCTTTTCCAGGATTCATTGCCATTTCTCTACTCTGGTTTTTACGTTTTTGGAGGTGATTTGATTACTCGGCGACACTTCGCCTTTCTCAGTGTGACAGCAGAGGAAGGGCAGATCACAGAGCAAACAGCAGCGCCGGATGCGGGTGAGTCGACAGGCACATCACACTTAAATAATCTAACTCCAAAAATACAAAAAAGTCTCCAGCTTTTCTCTTCTTGCCACATCTCCCCCATCCCATTAATGGAGCTGCTGCTGGTCCAGAGGGAAGGGGCGGAAAAAAGGTCGTGATCTTCTGAAAAGCTGCCAAATTAATGAAGACCCGTCAATGATAATGAACAAAGCGGCTAGAAAAATCTGACCCGACTTCTTAAAATCGCAGAAGACTTATCTCTCTTTCCCCCCATTAAATCCACACACGCAGGGAACACAGATCGATGAGTAATGCTCTGACGGAGCCAGATGATAATACAGGACAGAGCAAACCACCATTAACGGAGGGGCTTCAGGTCCTTATTTGGGTGCAACCCTACGAACACCTATGCATCTCAACAAGGGCTGTGCTCAGCTGTTGGGGCATTGAATCGAGATTTGAGCGAGAGAGACACGGAGAGAGATGATGATGATGATGATGATGATGATGTTGTTCTTGTTTTGATGGGGGAGAGAGAGAGTACAGGGGGGAAAAGACCGGCGATCCTTATTTTCTGCCGCTCCGTACAAATCTCTCGTGTCCTTCTTCTTCTTCTTCTTTCCTTATTTTTCTATTTCCCGATTTTGATCCGACGTGGGCGGCTGATGGATGATGATGATGTTTCGCGTTCTCCGTGGGGGCCCCACAGCGCAGGAATTTTGGATTGTTCTGCGGCGCTTCGATCGACGGTGGCGGTGGCGGGGGTTGCGTTTCCTCGTGATGTCTTTCCTCTTTTCTTCACCGCGTCGATGGGTGGCTGAGGGATTCCGGGAAATCGCGGCCGACGTGGAAAAACCGGGAAATGCCACGTCGGCGCCCCCCGGCAATTTCGGGATTTAATAGAACCGACACTATTGAAAACAGCACCCCGATTAAAAAAATAATAATAACGTACGGTGGGAGACATTAATGGTTGGTTTGTCTGGGAAAAAAATCAGAAACCTAAAATGTGTTAGGGAAAGAAAAGAAAGACGTAGACAAAAAAAAAAAGGGGAAAAAATCACAAAAATCCCGAATTTTTGTACATACTGTGCATTTTGAACTTTTTTTGTGATACAAAACCCTAATTTTTTTTGTGACACATTTCCTGAAATGTATTTAGTCCATGGGCATTTTCGTCTTTTCTGCTTTTTCTTTTTTTTTTTTTTTTTTTTCCTTCCCGTGAGGGGCCTCGCCTGGCGTCAGCGAGGGGGCCCTCGCCGGCGTCGGGCGGGGGCCCTCGCCGGCGTCAGCGAGGTCCGCCCTCGCTGGCGACGAGGGCGGCCCTCGCCCAGGCTCGGGCGAGGTCGACCCTCGCCGGCGTCGGCGAGGGTCGACCTCGCTGAGTCGGGCGAGGGCCGCCCTCGCTCGCCCAGCGAGGGCGGACCTCGCCCGAGCCGGCGAGGGTCGGCGAGGGTCGCCCTCGCTGGGCGCGGGCCGCCCTCGCCAGGCTCGAGCGAGGTCGACCCTCGCCCCGACGCCGGCGAGGGTCGACCTCGCCTGAGTCGGGGGAGGGCCGCCCTCGCTCGCCCGGGCGAGGCGGACCTCGCCGCAGCCAGCGAGGGTCGCCCTCGCTGGGCGAGCGAGGGCGGCCCTCGCCCGACTCAGGCGAGGTCGACCCTCGCCGGATCCGGCGAGGGCCGCCCTCGCCGGAGGAAAAAAAAGAAAAAGCAGAAAAGACGAAAATGCCCATGGACTAAATACATTGGGGTAAATGTGTCACAAAAAGCAAAGTTGGGGGTTTTTGGTGTCACAAAAAAAAGTTTGGGGTAAATGTGTCACAGATGGCAAAGTTTGGGGTTTTTGGTGGTTTTTTCCCAAAAAAAAAAGTTGAAATTCAAATTTGCGAGCAACTGGTAATTTAAAATATTAGATTTCATTTCGGTCATTTTAAAACTCGTTTTAATAGTATATGATTCCGTCCCTTTCTTGGTTATGTCGGATCATACTGTATCTCGATACTACACGTGCACTTTCATGAAATCGAAGCTATTGTTCGGGTTTGCTAACTGACATATGTGCAGCGGAATTACTTTTCATTAAAGAACGTGAATTTGGATGATTTATCAGTAATGTCCTGATATCAATCGCCTGCTATAATAACAAAGATCCATGTTGACGCGTTCGTGACTAAAACGCATACATTGTTTCTAGGAGCTATTCCATTCGTCGACCCAGCACGAGTGGATGCACGTCTGACACGACGAGATCCGATGAAGATGGGGAGTCCTACATTTGACCAATCAAAGTTCTAAGTGGGCAATCAAGTGGGGCTGGTGGTTCATGTGTTCTTCGTTTGTTTATTCTAATTTCGACCCGAATTCAATTTCGAGGAATTTCGGCAGAACCAATTTGGGCCCCTCTTGGCCCAATACGAAAGGTCCCGTTAGGCCCGATACGATATTATTTTGAAATAGTACCAGCGAAAAGTCCAGATTTGATAGAATAGAATCGCGCTGATTCAGCTCTGTGTCGGATGCAATTAGCTGCAAAACCTGCAGCAAGGACAAAAGAAAGAACCAAGTCGTGCAATCAGGCCACGTTCCCACATGCTCGATTCTAATTCCCGCAGATGCGCACGACATGCTGGACTCCCCTCGTTCAATTGAGACGTGTTCTCGATGATGAGCGGTGGAACTCGGCGCAGGCTGATCCGACGTCGAAATGGAGAGCAAAACGAGTCCGTTTTGATTCCCGAGCAGTTGATAGAACACTCTCGATCTCGCGGTGCATAGGTCTTAGCTAGTCGACCTGTAGCCGCGGATCCGTCCTCCTATTCCGGCAGTCTCTTGCTCCTCATTCACAGCTCCATCCGTGTTTAACTCGTGCCATCATCCATCTTCAGCCGCAAGATTCTGCAGACTCGACAAGCCAGAAGTCAGCAAAGATTTAAAGACGAAGGTTCAGGATCGAGGACGGCTCTGTTGCTCCATAACCTTCTCTCCTCGTTACACTTATCTCGACATACGCAGAATGTCCGTCCTCAACCTGGTTGCACTGCTTACGAACACACATCGACATTGAGACCTCCATCAGCAAAGGATTTTGTTGGCAGCAATGTCGTTCTGAAGTTTTATTTCCAGACAGACTTTTTCACTTCGGGATTGCTCCCAGTGTCCTTGATTCTTAATTTCAGGCACATACCTAGGGTTCCTGATTGCCACGTCAACCATCAAATGTTGCCATCAGACTTTAGAATGGTGATGGTCCTTAAAGTAATGACATGGTTGCATTATACCCCCAAAAAAAACAAGCACACCCCTTGTCTATGTCGATCTTATTTCTCTATACTAGAATGCATCCTCGAACGTTTTGATTTGGACTAGTGGGTGTGGCAAAAAATGCAATATTTTTTTTCCCTTGTACCAAACGTTAAACACCTAACCCCTCGAATCTTAGATACACTTTTTTTTTTTCGTGCGAGCGCATATGTTCATTGATAATCATTAGAAAGATATGCAGTTATCTAAAATCTATTTTGTCCCGTACCAAAAACTCGAGAAAATATCTTTGACGGAAATGAATTAGATCAAAGAGGAGTTATTCAATCTGAATGCTCAATCTGTATAATATCGCAATATCTTTTTAGTAATAAATCAGTTGCATGATCGAAATGTGCCACGGTTAGTTTTATGATTACTCATATGAATTACATGTAATCAAGCTCAGGGTTGAAGGTTTAAAAGCTCTTAACCTACGAATGACATGGCATGTTTCGCACGCATGCCCCGATGCTAGAAAAACACTTCCTCCTCGGACCCGGAGGGGGGGGTTATATGCAAAATTCATCTATCATTTTGGGTACATTTTACAAATAACGAGGAATCCGGGGTCACGAATCAAATTCCTTAAGTCTCACGCAAGGAATAATGATAGTTGTACACAAATACTTGCGCAGTAGAGAGAGAGAGAGAGAGGGGCATCGGGAGTTCTTCTTCCTTCAATCGGCTCTCGAAATCTGAGTTTCTCCCCCGTCTCAGGTACTTCCATTCCTCTTCTTCTTCCTCTTCTTCTTCTTCGGCGCCTTCTCCGAACTGGGTCACCACGCGAAAGTTGAAATTTTTACTGTATCTATCGAGCACGCAGCGAGCTCCCGTCACTTCCGTTGGACCGGGTGCTTTGAATTTGCTCGTGGGTCGCATCCGGCGCGGAGGTTCTGATGGGCTTCTGTGCTGATGTGATGTTTTATCTGCATTTCGCGATCGCCCGCGCCTGCGTATTCGCAGTATCGTCTCGCGTGTGCTTCGTGATTGATTCGATGCTGAAGTGTGTGTTGAGGGTGCTGTTGATTGGCGCTGTGATACGGGTTATGTTAGTGCAGGACCCGTTTTATGCCGTCTTAGTCACGGTGGAGAGGCTCCGATGGCGGGAAAATCGGCGGCGAGACCGAGGAAATTGTCTGTGTACCTTTACATTCCGAACATAATCGGTGGGTGGTTGTCGCTTTCTGTTGATTTTGATGTTCAGTAAATTTTGATTGCTGGTTTAGATTCTTAAGTCTCAAGTGGTCTATGGGAGCTTGGAAGAATGGACTTTTTAAGTGACTCCCGGTGGTGCATATGCCAGGTTATATAAGAGTGCTCATGAACTGCGTGGCATTTGCGATATGCTTCTCCAACAAAAGGATATTCTCGGTTCTCTATTTTATAAGGTTGGCCTTCTTGAATTTAAATGTGGTGTTTATGTTTGAAGGCGTAAGTAGAACTCAAAAGGTTGGAGTGAATTGACAAGCCTGTTGTTTCAGCTTTGTATGTGATGGCGTGGATGGTTGGTGCGCTCGCAAATTCAACCAAGGTGCTCACTCTTGGAGTTTCCTGCTTTTGATTTTATTATTCC